GATTCCGTTTACGTTGTAATAATGTTGGTCAGCTGCAGTGACTAAACCTCACACAACCTCCACCTGCTGTCCCTGGAATGCACATCCGTGACTAGAATCATGTTCAATCAGTAAAACAAACGTCTGAAGCAGACCTGGTGTCTGTGGAATGAGAGGAATTTGTCCACCATGTTTACCTGCTGTATGAACGGACAGCTGAACCTGAGTTGGCCTCCACGAGTCTTTGCTGGAGTTTTCTAGGAGCTGCTGCAGAATTCTATCTATATGAAAAACATCCGTGTGACAGAGGACTCCACCTGTGAGACCTCATTCAGAATGACAGATAAAGTGACCGAAAGACATACTTAAATAAAAAAAAAAAACAATGTCATAAGAATAAAAAGTTTCTGAAGTTTGAGCAGTTCTTACATCATGAAAAGATAAACTGTTCCAGAGACACTGTAAAGCCTCCATGGCCTTTTGCTCTGAGAATATAACTGGGGTATAATAACTAAAGAGTTCTGCTAACTACTGTGAAGCTAACCCATGTAAAACCCTAAAAACAAGCAATAAAATCTTAAACCTAATCCTGAAAGCCAGTTGAGAGAAGACAAAGATGGTGTTTTGTGATCACGTCTTCTTTCTCCTGTCTAACAGAGTGGTAATAAAGACATGAATAACTTTTTCAGAGTCTTTGAGACAGAGACAGGCCTTCACCTTGGCTCAAAGACTTGACTAAAAAAAAAAAAGCTAGTTTTGATAACTGAGCTGTTTTGTCTGTAAAATGTGATGGCGCTGTTAGAAATCACTCCAAAGTTTTTCACAAAAGACCGACTGTATGAAGCAAAAAGGGCCAACAGGGCCGTCAAGGCCATCTAAAGCATCCAGTCAATGCTTTAAAAGATAATCCAGGTTTTAATATTTTATAATCAGTCCAGTGATGACTGCTGGGAGTCTTTACTTTTCATTTTGCAGGCAGATAGATTTGTAAATTGTCAGCAAAACAATGGAATGAAATCTTGTGGGGTGATAGAGATACGCTGGTAAAATTGCAGTTAAAAAAATAAATAAATAAACGTCTATTTTATTTAACTGTTGTTTTGTTCTGTTCCATTGTTGAAAAAAACATGAGAAGGTTTTTTTTTTCATCTGTCGTTACTATACAATCTGACTGTTGTCAGTGCTGTTGGGATAGTTGTTGAGCTGCTTGGTAAAGCAGCATTCACAAACTGTCCTTTAATTTACAGTCCATGAATCAAAAAGTCAATGTAAAATGATGGCCGAGGCTCCCAGAGATGTGGATGATGCCATGGATGTGTGGTTTACACAAATGATTTCTTATAATTGTTAATTTCAATGATCCTCCAGAAGAGATCTTATTGTGTTGCTACACAAATGAAGTTTATGTCAGAGAAAAACATCCTAAATATCTAGTGATATTGAAATCAAAAAGTGCTTTATTAATAGAGCTGTATTTTCAGCGTTTATTGGAAATATAAAGAAAAGCAAGCTACCATGTGGATCGATGGTTAGCACCGTCGCCTCGCAGCAAGAAGGTCGCCGGTTCGCGTCCCGGTGAGGACACCCGGGATCTTTCTGTTTGGAGTTTGCATGTTCTCCCCGTTTCTCCCACACAGTCCACAAATACGTTGAGGTTAATTGGTGATTCTTAATTGTAGGTGTGAATGTGAGTGTGCTTGGTTGTCTGTCTCTAAGTGTAGCCCTGTGATAGACTGGTGACCTGTCCAGGGTGTCCTCTGCCTTCACCCAAAGTCAGCTGGGATAGACTCCAGCCCCCCATGACCCTAGTGAGGATTAAGCAGTGTGTAGGTAATGGATGGATAAAGAAAAGCAGAACTTTAAATCACTGTGACTTTCCATCCAGTCCTTCACATCTGACAGGGACACGATGTGATGAATTACGTAAAATGAACTTGTGCAGGGAGTTTCCTTCCAGCTGCACCCTGCAGGTAAATGTCGTACTACTGGATGTGCTCTGTTTATGTTGAGGTACCTAAACAGTTTGTAGATTGTATTTGAACATAATTGCCCAGATTATAATTTAATGCTTCTTTCTGTGCATCTGCTGCCTCTGCACGTGGTGACGTGTCATGACTCGTCTGAATAGCCGAGGAGACGACGCACCGATGTGGAATGTTTTGATCGGTGTCCTCACCCTGGGTGGAGAACACACTGTGATTCATGCTGTGTTTTCAATGTAAAAACGACAAACTCTACAAATCATTCCAACATCCTGCTCGGCTGTTACGCCCATCTTGGCAGTGCAGCATTCTTTGGGTTCGTCTTAATAGAAGGTGTGGATCAAAGGCATGCTGCTGGAGCTCACCAGGCAGCTTCTTCTTTTGCACCTTATCCTCTAGATATTTATTGATTGAAATTCAACCTGTCATTCTGCAAACTCTGGTGCTCGTCTCAACAAGCTGTATCACATTACTGCCAAATGAGATTAACTTTCATGCCCCTTGATTTCAGTTAAACTGTCCAGTGTGGGACTCACATGATCAATCTGTAACCTCCTCAGACATTTTTGTCGTCATTACAAAATGCTAAACCCTGTCTGGTACTTCTGCCACTCAAACCATTCACTGTTTACAACTGAATTAAGGGTTGTTAGTGCATTAGATAGGATGTAAAAAAAAGTACAGTGACTCTTCAATCTACTGCTGTAGTCCAGGTGATGTTAAAAATAATGCTTTTTACTTTTTTATAAAAGCATGAACCATGGTACACTTTTACAGTTTGAACATGCCGGAAGCAGATGCATTTATAAAGCAATAAATAATGCATCCGTGTTTTCTCCTGAACTACACAGAAAATGATGTCTGCACATGTTTTGATGGTTAAGAATGACAAAAATACCAACAACCTAAACTGTTCAGTTCAATAGTTAATGGTGAATTCAGAGACGCTGTGAGAAGGAATTTAGAACATAGACTTCATAATATCATTTCTGCATATTGTTTAGAGTTTGAAAAGCTTGATCCATTTGTTCATTAAACTGACACGGTGACTGTAAAGAGTCGAAGTGACCATCCAGCTTAAAAAGAAAGTGTCAAACACAAAGATTTACTTCAGACACATTTGCTGCCGTTGCGGATGAACCTATTCTTCACAGTCTGATTCACATCTTCACTCAGAGCTGTGCTACATTGAGGATGTTTTTCTTTTTTTACATTTGCAGTAACCCCTGCAGCCACAACTTAAGGATGGTCTGGCCTCCCTGTGGAACAGTTGATCATAGTGGCGTAAAATCACCACGGTTCAAACAATGTGGACATTTTCACAAGGTTCCTGGCAGGTAAAGCAGGTGAAAAACCTTCCGTTTGTTTTAACTCAAATAGAATCCTGTTCATTTCCACTTACAGACGCCACGTTCTACCATTTCATGCACAGGAAACAGATCAGATCGACCCTTGTGTGCATAAAGAGGCAGATTTAAGGATGCTGCTCCATGCAACTAAAGCTTCAAGAAAATTATTTTAAAAGACAGTTTTAAAAAGAAAGTAAATATATCACCAGGACTATTAACAGACTTTTAATAATATAAAACTTTCAACATAAAAATCTGCAATCTATCACGCTTAAATCTGCAAAAACATTGCAGGGACATTGTATATAATTTAGATGCCATGTGCACCTATTCTATTTTTCAGTCTTCAACTCACAAGACTGTGTACAAACTCAGACGCAAACATTTGTTTTACCGCTGCGACTTCAGTGACTCACTCTGCTGCACACAGTCTTTGTGAACAAATCACTGGGAGAGTTTCTAAATGTGGAGTTTGGAGAGTGTTGGTCAATTACTGTGGCATGCAGCGGTTTAATCTGAGTCTTACTAATCAGATTTACTGTAACAGCAATCACCTCTCAGCCATTTAGCAGCTCTGCAGCGGCTTTCTGTGAGCCGAGGACTAGAGCTGCAGGGCGAACCAACCTGGAGTCACGTCACCCTCCTGGAAGAAACTACAATGTGTGCTTTTATTGAGGGGTTATTGTGATAATAAGTAGAGACTGCAGGTCATGGCTGGTGACGGTTTTTAATTTAATAATACATCCATAAATAAGAAAGAGGACCAACAGGTCTGGTCGAGTACATTAACCTGCACTCAGCTCTTTCAAATCAGAATCAAAACTTGTTTCAAAGTTTTCTCTTCTTCATTGGACTATGAGACTCCGTCAGTTCTGAGACGCTGATAATACGTTGATGTTTAACAGGTTCAAGTACATTTACTCAAGTACAATTTTGAAGTATTTGTACCTCACTTGAGTGTTTTTGTTTAGACAGTTTATACTTCCACTGCACTACATTTCAAAGGATAACATTATACTTTCTGCTCCACTACGTTTTAGTTATGCAGGATAATATAACAGGCTTTTATAATACAACACATAGTTAAAGATTAAACCAGCCTTAAGGGATTGTTGTTAAAAGCAGTTTGTAGTCGGGCTCACATGTCACATGTCTATAAGTTGTGCTCAATATCTCACCATAAAACTCAATAAAAGATTTATGTATCAGAACTTTTTTTTTTTTTTTTACTGTTTCCCATTAATGATGAGCCCTCAGGTGTATCTGCTGTCTTTGCATATAAAACTGGATAAAAAGTCATTCAAAGTAGCTCCACCTGCAGCAGCTCCAACAGTAACATGCTGCTGACACACTGATGCTTCACTGTTAATAATCGAATAATGTCAAATATAATAATATACCAGTCAGAAGGACCAAACCAGCACTTTTGCTTTAACACTTCTTTAACTTCATTTTGCTGCTAATACTTAGGTATGTCTGCTTATGTAGGATTCTTCACGCAGCATTGCATTTTACTTTTTTAAAAAACTTATTTAACTCACGAACAAAGACAGATTGAAAGATTATTTAAAGGAGCTCTGGTGCAGCTGAGTCACGATGACACGATATACATATTCAAATGATGGAGCACCGCATCAGCAGGAAATAGGCTGCAGATGAAACCAGAGGTCATTTGTCTTGTAACCAGAGAGACAGCAGGACCACACAGAACGAGGCCAGAAACACAATCAGGTCCTGAGCCCATCTCACTGGGATCAGCAGCCTGAGAGGAACACAAAGGAAACAGGAACACAGTGTACCAAAAATAAACAGAGGTGCAGAGAATACACACACACACACACACACCTCCATGATATTTTACAGGAATTATGCTACAACCAGCCAGTGTTCCAGATCATTCACTGGCAGCACAGCTTCCCTGCACGCCAATGTGACGAGCAGCCTTCTGCCCGGCTCTGCTGTGGAAATCTGTCCCAGCCCTCCCCGTGGAGAGAGTGATGCGCACCTTGGATTTGCTCTCTCAGTCAAGATTATGTTAATCTGCTCTAATCTCCTAACAGACGCTCAGACAGCCAGCACGAGACCACAGCACAGAGCTCAGAGAGGCAGGCAGGGCTTCACATGAGGCTCAGTGAAGCCGCTCTGCACACAGAGGAAAACTCCAAAAGCCCTCGATAAAGCTGCAGTGCAGTCGGACACTTCTGGTCCTGAATTTGAAAGGAAGCCTTCATGGTCATTCAAGAATATAAATACTATATTGAGGCTTTGGATAGAAAATAGTGGGAGAAGATTATTAAAAATTAAACATGAATGAATAGACAGCTGCAAAACAAAACAGCAAACCCCCAAGCCAGGTTGACTGAGCCACTAACAGGACATCTAGCAGCACAATGAAATAATAGAATAAATATTGAAAAATGAAATCATGAAGCACTCCAGACTGCTTTTGGACTCTTTTCACCATCATTATATAAAATGAATGATGGGATTTTCTGTATTATCATTACACAAATGCGCAGCTGCCATGTTTTATCTGTGAAAGCTGCTGTCCAAACTCAAATTAAAATAAAA